TTGGTGATGTCTTTCAATTGGTGGTATGTCTTATATCAGTGCATACTGTAGCTTTATGGAGCCTTCATTACCTTATAATAGATGCAATATTGGCTAAGCCATTTAATAACTTGCTCTCTTCAATTGAGACCCGCCATAATACTAGATGCGATTATAGAAATCATAGGGTTGGGAATTACAATTATAATGGAAACAGCCATTTTGTTAATAGTACTGCCTTCTTCTATATTAGTATAATCGGGCCTAAACTTGTTTAACTGCTCTACTTACAGTATAATCCAAAGAAGCCACATCCCATTACTGATAATCCCTCCTTGAACTTTCTATCAAACTTGGAATCCAAGCCATTTCTGGTATACTACGATATTCTATCCAGAATATCCCTCTCGAATAAAGATCTCTCAAGCCCCCGGAAATGTGATCCACTCAAACCATAAGCAAGCCGCTACTCCATTCTATTAATATACTCGTTCATTCTCAACACTCTTGCAAATCTACTGACTGATTCTATACCTCCAGCAATCTCGATATCTTTGGTCGAACTGTATTCTGATTTGAAGTGACTCGCTTTATTTGATACTGAGCCCTGGAGTAAAAGTGTAATAAGCAGATAAATGATATACTCGTTCTAGTTTATAGCATACCCAGCAAAATGCATAGTGCCACTGTACTTCATTTATTTTATTCTCAAATCATTATATCTCCTGAATAGTTCGAATCTGATTAGCAGTTCAATCAGATATTCCTCCACTACAACAATCGCAAAGCCTTCCTTCTGCTTCATTGCAAATCTGTCCTTCCTCGTCTAAATATCCATTTATAATAAATTATCAATAGTCCCAAATTTGAATAAATCGTTACATAACAAGCTCATTTATTATAAGCTTAGTAGTGTCCTATTTATTGAATTATTGATATTCCAAATTCTCTAACAAAATAATCAAATCAACATCTTCTCTAGCCCGACCACCATGTCCAGTCTCCTGTGCAAAATCAATCATTCCATATGGGATCTTAATATACATAATATAAACAATCCCCGGGTAGTCCCTATCAGTCCTGAGTACTTTAGTCGCAGTAATAAATCCTTCAGCTTGCAATCATTTCTTTATAACCGCATCTTTTTCCTCAATTATAGAATAGTATAATAAGCAATTTAAGATCTGGCCTACTTCTTCAGTCCTATTTCAATTATTACAATAAAAGATACCCCACTCTCCTTTCCCCAAACCCCACAATTGGGCCATTTCCCGAACAATCTTCATGACACTTTGATTCGGATACCGTCATATAGTATATCGAATGTTAACACGAATCATACTTATTCGAATAAAACGAAAGTCAGAGATATGCATAACCTCTCATAACTCATCGAGTCAACTCAGAGGCAGTGTAACTATCAGCAAGATCATGGGAACACCGCAATACTTGAAAATAATCAAGCTACTAAAGCTTCAATCAATAATCATTGGCAGTAAATGAAAGATGACATTCATCAAGCACAACACAATACAATAGCTTTCGTTTCCGGAGCATCGACCCATACATAATAAAATCAGTGAATGCAGCCCGGTCAATACTAACCACAACAACTGGAGTATAATCTACTTCTCCATGGTGCCACACGATATACTTGATATAAGCAAACTGTAATCATCGAATATAGTCCTTTTCGAATGCATTAAATGGTACAACGATAATACTGACTTCTGGGTTTTGAAGTACTGCTGGGATAATAAATATTAGTGTTTTTCCCCTGTTAGTTGGCAATATTATAATTAATAGTGTTTGTGGTTCAAATACAGCAAATATGACTTCTTTTTATTTCTCCAATCGGAATATGGGCTTTTCTTAATTCAGCACTTTTTTCAAGTTTTTATAAATCTCACTACCGGAGTAAACTAGAACCGTGTTGAGTGGTAGCACTCCTATAGTCATAATTATATCAGTCCGCGGCCGACTTAGAAATCCTATACTCTCTAGTTCTGGTGATGTAAACGTAACTACGTTCGAACAAGATGGTATGAGTAGTTCTATTTGAGAAATCTTGAATACCAATGGGGTGAAAATCGCAGGCTATGGTTAGCTCAACAGTGATCTCGATCTTTTAAAAATAAAACTGAGTGGTGATATCCTGTAAAATAACTTTCATTGGTGTTTCATAGATAGTCTTGGTTGCTTGTTATCCAGTTCTAGAAGCTGGTGCTATTGCAAATCAATAGCTTCGAAGATTCGAATGCTTTCGTTACTGAGATTTCGAATAATATTACCCCAAACTCTATACCATTCAATAATATCCTTTCCATAAGCAATTACAAGATTAACAGTACTCACAATCACATCAATATCCTTATATAGTATATCTTTAGTTATGGGCAGATCTCTCATAAACTCGGCATCAATATACTTATAGCCTATTTTGATAGCTATATTTCGATAGTCTTGCATAATTAAGTGGACTCCTAGTCGAATTGTAGTTTCCTAAGTTAAGACCTTGGTTAGATGCTCGTGTATCCACAACCCATTTTTATTATACCAGAGATAATCACTCCGGGAAAGTCTATTTGTCTTCTAGTTGAGAATCTCTGAGAATGGCTAAACACAAGCCAAATAAATTAATCAGATCTGTATTATATATTATAGAAGAAATCAGGGAATCACTTTAGCCTCACCAAAAAGTGCCTGGGATTTGTGATATCATGTTACATATCCCATTCGATTATTAATAATATAAATGTTCTGTTTCTGGAGTAAACCATTACGGAATCGAATGGGAGTAATTTCCTCTCCACAAGCTGGAGGACTATCACTTTAATGTCCTAGAACAAGTATGAGCTCTTTCAATCGTTTCTACAGTTGTCAATACTCGCGAACTCTTATTATTTGCCATATATTGTTTTTCTAGTCCCATAATTGCTGTTTTTTGGGAGCTTTCAATATTTGCTCCATTATCCAGTTTAGCTTATCTTTTATTCCATTAGCCTCATTAATGATTTATGAAGCTCCCCATTTTGCTAATAACAAATCATCTTGAATATTCTCTAAATCAATCTCAAAGCGATTCTTTTTCTACCTTACCCATATCAAATCCTCTTATAAGATATCCTTGGCCTCCCGAATTATATTGTGGATAGAATCCTTGAATCGCTTAATAAGTATTGGCTTTTCATGAAATTCCAATAGATCACCATCTGAACAATTTGTCTCGGATTAAGTCCAAGTAATACTGGGCTAGTTAATCTTCTGCATACTTATAGTTTTACTATACCCCAGTATCTTGATTAAGAAACTATATGGACTATAACTATCTACCACTAGATATTTCTTTTGTAATTCCAAAAACTGGTCGATGTCTTTAGTTGTTTATTCTTTTTTGGTAGCAAATAACAAAGTGTATTCCAAAAACAAAACCTGGATGTAATATATAAATCCCATAAGTATATATGAGTATTCATCTTTATACCTTAATTGGTTTTCGTTCTCTATAATCCCTAATACTGCAGCAAAATGCATTATGGGACTATCAAATCGGTCACACCCTTTCAAGCTTTATAGAATTATAGATATAAAGAATACTCTCATCTTGTAGATCTGATTATCTTTATCTTCTCTAGTTTCCAGTGACTCAAGCATCTCTTCAAGCAGCTCTTTTTGTTCCAAATTGAATTTGGTTAGTTCACAGTAATCCTTCATTACATCAATAGCAACCTTGTTAGAATTAATTACCTATTGGTTTTCCTCCCCTATTTCATTTTTATTTTCATTTGCAGAATTGTTTTGATTACTTACTGACATCTCTTCCCTACTTCCAGTTTCCTTTTTTCCCAAGTTTTCCTTCGTTATTCTCTTTTTTTGTGTTATGTATATATATAATAAATAGCATGCAAATCACTGAAGATAAGTAATATACCAATCTAAATTATCTTTATTCTATAAACACACTATAGGATGGTTTTTCACTTTTTTGGTTGAATTAGCTATTCGCAGTTAGTATAGAGTGTCGTTATGGAAGCTATTTAGTCCATTTATTGCCCTTTCAATTATAATACTCACAATCTCGCTGGCGCATTATAGTTGCTTATTTTTTCAGTCCGATAACCTATTTATATAAGCAATACATTTAATATTGCGGTTTTTAAAGTATGGTTATTATTGGATAAAGCTCCACCAACCAGTATTATTGCTCTTTTTTGTCTTATCATCAACAATCTCATATCTTTTTTAGTTTTGATTGTTAAGATCTTTGAATTCGCATAATAGTTAATCTCGAACTGTTCTGTTTTCGTTTTCTGCTAGTGGTTCTAGTTCTTCAAGATTTGCCTTGGTAACTACAATAAAATATCTCTGATATATATAACTAAAAAATGTCTATACCTTGACTTCTATCCAATACTTTAGGTTGATCTTCGAAAACCGCTAGCTATAATCTTTGCAATGTTTTTGCATTCTATTCTTTAATAATGTAATATGAATACAATTGTTACAAAGTAGCACATTTATAGATTGACCAAAAGCTGGAAATGGAAGACCACCTGGCTCAGGTACTCTAACATTTTTGGGGTGCCGGAAAGAGAGTAAGCCATACTTCTCAAGTAATAAGGTACGCCTTTTCTTTTCTAGACCATATCTATCCCGAAGATGAGTCTCAAGTCCTCAAACTGCTGTTTGATGTAGAGTACAGACTAAAATCTCGTATTCAGCAATATATTCAAATGTATCGTCATCTTTGTTGTTGTGGTGCTCGTTCTGTTCAACCTATTGAATGATCGTTTATTAAGCAATCCTAAGTCAGCTGATTTACCCTAAGCAACCCTAAACTTTTTCAAACTTACTCATAATATAGATTTCAGTTGTTTGGCACCAATTTTTACTAGATGTTAATGCTGTATATTAGTTTTAAAGCAAGAGTAGTAGTCAATTTAAAGTTATATTGTATTCTACACTGCTGATTCAACTCCTGATTCAACTGTACCGCCTAACCCCTTTCGCTTACCCTAGTCCTATTTCGGCACCGATTCAAGTTGAATCGGCCCCCGCCTTATGTAAAGGACCACTCCATAGCTGCCGCCACCACCACCGGAGAGAGCCCAATACAAGTCTTTGTTCTCGGTCGGAGAAGCGATAAGAAAATCTCCATTTCCGGTGACAACTTCCCATTCGAGAACCTGATCAGCTGCAAGGCCATATTTCGATACCAGTTGGCCGTGGCCACCGCCTTGAGTATATCCGCCAGCAAAACCGACAGTCCCGTCATTGCCTCCAACAACCACCAATCCTTGGGAATTGGCTGCAGTCATAGCTTCCATCACACTTACGCCTGCACCAACTTTGATCGCTTTTCCGTTGTAGTAACTCGATCTATAATCAACTATTTCGGTATTCTTGAGATGATGAGTCCAAATTGCAATAGCACCGGCACCGGTCGCCTTACCGTAATAGTCATGGCCAGTATTCCTGATTGTCAATCGTAAGTTATCCCTGTGGTGGCAGAATCCGTGGTTAACGAAGTAATCCTTTTGTAATTGCCATAAATTCTATAATACCTTTATTATATATTGAATAAATTGTTTTTAAAGTATTAATATAATCAATCTAAATCTTTATATTTTATAAAGCTTATTCTAATTAATAAGTTTTTAGTGAATTTCTTAAATTCTGGAAGATTAATTGAAAGTTTTGGTTTAAGATAACAATTATTTATCAAATAAAAAGCTTTTAGATTTTACTTACTTTTCAATCCCCTCTTCTCTCTTTTTCTTTTCTTTTCCTTTTAAATTAATTTTTTATTAGATTTTAATAAAAGAATAGAAAAGTTCTTTTAAATATTTCAATTAGAATCTATTAAGGATTATTAATCTTTTTGTTATACTTCTATTTATTGAATTCAAATTTATTTATATATAAATTGAAATCAGATTATATTCTTATTTATATAATACATTTTATATTGTATAGTATAGTAATATAACTTATAATTTCACTTGAAAGCTTTCTTATAGGTTTCCCTTATATAATATAACTTACCAAAAGAACTCTACTTCTCTTTAAGCTTTCAACTAATGCCTTCTACCCACCTCTTAGCTTCTATACTCATTCCTTTTCTCCTCTTTAGCTTTTATTTATTTCTTTAACCTTCTATATATATACCTTTCTATCCACCTTCCCCTTAATTCTAATATTCAAAAATCTTGAAAGCTCTAAGGCCTTTTAAGATTCTTATTTTCTTTTTTTTAATCAAAATTCAATAATAAACAAATCATAAAAGAATCAATTTAATTTATCAATAATAAAAAGCTCTATTTATTACTAATAAATATATATATCAATATTATAATATATAAAATAGAAATTTGTATAGGGATTTATATTGAATTTATTTTTGTCCAGAATATTAACTTTGCCACCATAGGGTATACTTCTGTACGAAATTGATTGTTTTCTGATAGTCGGAAGCATCACTTGCATTTACAGCATATTGGACATAAGTGCCCACTATGCAATTGGACGATTTTGGTGAAAATGGATCGCAGCTGTAGTTTGAAAAAAATGGTGCCATAATCGAAGATGAAGACCTGAGGTGAGTTTTGGCATAGCTCCATGCAGCTTGAATACTTTCGCAATCTCTTTCACTGTATTCCTCAAATTCGTCTAGATGACATGAGCTCGCGAGAGGCTTGGTCGCAATAAGTTTACCACTTAAAGTCTGATTGAAAATTTTCCAAGTGGCTGAGGTAGGCCAGCATTCATGGGCAGGAAGACATCGACAAAGAGTGGTGTTTGTAAGGCTACGTCCCTCATTGTGTGTAAGAATCGGAAGTATAGACGCGCAAATCACTCCGATGTTCATGCAGAGAAAGAGTAGGTATGATGATAAGAGTAAATATTTATTCCCCATATTGGTCATCTATGGCGATGAATTATGATGATTGAAATTCTGATTAGCTTAAGAGGCTCGTTCCAGTATGAGTCGATCTCTTTATACAATACAATGAAATAAGCAACCACATGCCAGCCTGTATCTCTCAGACTAGCACTTGATGTCATTTACGGGATTGGTTCCAAAGAGAGGAGCTGCAGAACCAAGGCACAAAATTGGTGGACCTTAGGAAATGACTCAATATGCGAGTCGTGTAAGCAACATCCTGGGCTAATAGAGCTGGCTTCCAACTATGATACAATACTAGAAAGGATTACGTATCACCCCTGAAATTAGATAAGGGTGTGATTTAAGTCGTGACACGCATGCAGAGTACTTTTCAATGGCAATGCAAACATCGTAAACGAAGTTGAAGTAAGATTTTAATGACATCAAAGCAGATAAGACGGGTCTCTAATTTTTTTTGGCTCATCGAGAAGCCCGACTTGGATTGGGGTCCTCGATATCACAGTGCTGGCAGTGCCAGTTACTATTGCAGTGGATACTTCAGCGGAGATTCACCAGACTATCTATGCCAGCAGCCCCTTCCCAAATTTTTGAACCGTTGCCACAAAACCTTTAATCCAGGTCAAATGGGGCGAGTGACCGCTTGGGCATCTAACGATAGTTATGTTGACTCCAGGTCGAGAGTTTTGTAGTGCAATCATCCCTTCCTGATACACTGTAGGCAAAGCTAAATCGTTCTCCGTTATAAGGTATGTAGACGGCAAAGCAACATATGCATCGTTATGCAAAATGGTTTTGAATATCGGAGATGCCGTCAATGTCGATTCATATTTCTTAGCCTGAGCGTCGTCTAGCCCGTTAAAGAAGTACTTGGCGCCCTCAACTGTAGAAGCAACGCCGTTCATTCCATGAACCTGACAATTGATCGTCGTTAGCAATGCTTATATGTCTGAAGAGACTGCCATCGGGTGCTGAGTAAGCAAAACTTACATGAAATTTGCAGTAGGGTGGAACCACGGGAGAACTTCCATCTTTTGGCTGAAAGAAGCCATTCACAGAATCATCCACAGGAATCAAGAATGCACAAGCATAGAAAATACCAATTATACCACCAGAGAGACCACGTTTCTTTCGAACGTTTGCTTGCAACTCTGGGATAGCACAGGCTGTCGCCGTGAAACCTCCAGAGGAGTGACCAAGAACAATGACGTTTTTTTCGCCCTTTTTAATAAGGTCTTGAAGCAATTCATTGATGATGATTAAATCATCCGATGGCTGTGGGTATCCACCGGCAGGAATATCTCGATCATAATCTGGGTTTGCGAGGTCCCCTACATTCAATTTCGTCAAGTCTGACGAGGGCAGCTGTGGGCAATATGACTCAATGCCAGCGGCTGTCAAAGCATCTTGGAAGGGTCGATATGGCTCTGGCGTGTGGTAAGATCCATGGCATATGACAACCACAAACGATGAAGACATTTTTTTGATGGATAGAAAGGGGTACTTGGCTGAGGCTGAAGAAAGTAGAAGAGGATGTGGAAAGAAGAGAATGTGGAATGAAATATTATTTCAGAGGGGATGCGTCTATCACATGGATTATCACCTTTGGGCCTTGGGGTCCCCACTAGTTATATACATAGGTACATCTTTACATGGGTGTATATTGCATATCTGTGCTAAGCCGAATATGACAATATGCCAGAGTTACCTTGTAGGGAAGTGGGGCAATTTAGGGTGGCTGTAAATCAAATGTTCGTTCGTATTACAGTCGTTATTTTCACCGCTTCTGATTTATGTTCACTTTTATTGATTTAAATTAAACTATAATTTCTTCATTTTGAATATCAAAATATATTTGAATGTGAAATCTTGTTTATTTATAAAACGATTTAGTTTATAAAACCTTGTTTAGTAATCGTAAAAGCTGAAGCTATTTAGATAATACTAGAAGTTTAATTAATTACGTTCATCTTTTAATAATTATTATCGATACGACTAAGATTAAGCTTTAACTAATTCGACTTATTATAAATTATAAGAGGTTTTAAATGTTTCTAACTGAAACTTTAAGAGTAATAGCAAATTCCTATTATTTAAATCTTATATATTATATTAGAATATCTGCCTGTATATTTACTAGTATTGATTACATTAAAAAGAGGAGAAAGAATATACTTAAAACTATATCTCAAATTCAAGATAAATTAAACAATTTCTATATTAGTTTTGATTTATTCAATTGCTTTTTGTAAAGAGTTAGTAGTAGTAATGAATCAACTAGTATAATATAACACAATGTCACGGTGTGGAATCACATGGCATGTTAGTCCTATCGGATAGAATCGAAACAGACGCTGACACCGAAACACAAGTAAACTAAGGCCCGATCAGACTAGCTTACTTATGAAAATTCTGTATATCTTCAATTGGGAAGATCCTATATTGTAGCTCTTTGAGCTACATTTTAATCTTTAATTTGAACCTATTATCTGAATTAATACAACTTTGCTAAATTAGGGCAAAATTATTAGAATTCTATTATTGTTTGCCTACTCTGTAATACTATGTAGTTTCTTTTTAATAATTATTGCTTCATAATATCTACCCTGCACTCATCTAGTTGATTTAGAGACACCTCGGAATTTGGTATCTCTATATTAGAGGATTCTTAGATCTAATATCAATATCTCCAGTTGATATCTATATATTATACCGAGCTAAAGAGATTCAATTAATTGCTCGAATAAAAGATTTCGGAATTGCTAATTAAAAAGCATATCTAAGCTACCTTACAAAAACAAATCACTATACAAAATATCCGCCTACTCAATTGTTTTACTAAGTCTATATCTATCACCCCTATCTATACCAAAACTATAACCCCTAAGACCCCTACAAAATCTATAAATATTCCAACCCCATCACTTATTAAAATCTAGCTAAACAAAAAGCTACCTAACCCTATTCTATTTAATAATATCAAATCCAATCTTAATTGCTTTATTAATTAGATTCAAAATAAAATGTATACCAACTTCGATTGCTTTATTATTACTTATACCTACTTATTTTATATTACCAAAAAGCTTATTAGAATTATTACTATTTAAATATATTTATACAATATATAAAGAGAATTCATTTGTTTAAAGGATTATTCCAATTTATTAGATATTCTGGAATAAGCTTATAGAAATGTAAATAAAATTATAGAAACTCAGAAATAACTAATATCTTTATAATAAAAGAATTAATTATTCCATATATTTTATACCGAATTTCAATAATTAGCATTAAAAACAGAAATAGTTAATAACAATACAATACTAATTATCCTACTAAAATAAGATCTATCCAATAAGTTAGCAAACCAGATCATTACTACTAAACTATTAATATATAATACTAATGTGTATACTACATTCTGCTAAAAGCTAGAAAATCATTACAGATATCTAAAGTATAGCTAATTAATTACTATTTTATCTCAATTTATTCATACCCCCACTCCCATTCCAATCTATATTAGTAAGGTAACTTCTTTATCCACTCTTGCTAAAAACCCAATAGATCTTAATTTTCAATAACAAATCACTAATAGCAATTTATTATAAAAAAAGCACAATGAATACTACCACTATGGTTCTACCAATCACTTAATCCATAACTATCCGTATTCTAATATTCATTTTATTCAGCTTCAAATCACTATTATTATAACTAATCCCACCAGAAATAGCTCTATATTGAATAGTTCTTTTAAAGAATAGTATTCTATACATTCTCCCCCTTGCTCTCCTCCCCACTCACCAATTAACTCTATTAGATTAGAAAATAGAATAAGTTTAGCCTAAACCGTAATTAGATCGATTCTTTATATACTCTTAGTCTATCTATTACTACTACTTATAGTTTTTTATTAAAAAATAAATTAAACAATTATACAGATCTTATAATTCTACCTATCAATCTACTTATAAAAGAAAAGGATCTCTTTATTTATACTATAATTAATAGTAAATATAAAAGGATTGTCTTTACAGATTGAAATTAGATATCTTTTTAGAAAATATTTATACATCAACTATCTATTATATTCAAAGTTATAGGATTTAATAGAAATATTCTATTTAATAACTAAGTTATTTTCTATATTCGTATAGAATTCAGAATTAATAATTATATTAAGAAGAAAATCATTCTATATATAATCGAATTAATTCATTATTTTGTAATACTAAAAATAGTTTAATTTAAAAAATATAATTCTTATATCAACTTTACAATAAACTCGTTTTAATTTAATAATCTATTTTGCTATAAATTCTATAATATTCTATTCTATCCCTCCCATATAAAAGCTCTATCTAATATTCCTCCAAAAACTCAATTTGTATATCTACCTACCCATCCCAAAAGATTAGAGAATAAGGATATAGCTATTATCTCCCTAAAAGTCTGTTTAATATATACCCATTAGAAATATGAAATATTTCAGATATTAATAAAACAAATCGATAATATTCTGAATTAGAAAAAAAAAGAGTTTAATCTTCAAAATCTATTATCTAAATTCTGAAATTAAAAAGATATCTTTTTTTTTAAAAATACAGAAAAGCTATCTCTTTATCAATTATATAACTACAAGATCTGTTTTAAGGAAGGGCTATTCTACTATTTGATATTCTATATTCTATATCCCATATCGAATTAAAAGCTTTAAAATAATAACTAAAGGAAAATCTTAAGAAAGGGTTTATTTAGTTAAGCTTTTCTTTTATTATATTATTTGTTTTATTTATTAAAAAAGCTAATAAAGATCTTTAATTCTATATAAATTATTAAATACTAAACAATCTATTTATTAAGGATTGATATTCTTTATTATTAATAAAAGAATCTCTAAATAATCTAAAAGAAATAAAATATTTCAATAAAATTAATATTATTTCTATCTTCAATAATATAAGAATAAAAAAAGGATAAGAATACCTAACTATATTCTATACTTAATTTAGTTTATTTGAATTTTTAGTTATATTATTTGGGTTAATAAAAGTACTTATAACCTTTTAGAAATATATCAATAATTCTTTATAAAAATACTTAAATATATTTTGTATTATTTATCTAAATAATATCCTGATATATAATTAAATCTGAAAGGAATATATCCATTATATCCAGAAGATTCTATAAATATTAAAAGAAATTAGTTTATTCACTAAATTCGAGAAATATGAATTTCTGAAATCCGAAATCAAATTCTTAGATTTTATTATAGAAAAAGATAATATTCAAATAGATTTAAAAAAAATTCAAATAATTATAAATTGGAAATCCTCTGCTATTATAATCAATATACAAATATTTATTGAATTTACAAATTTTTATTAATAATTTATTAGAAATTTTTTAAAGATAATCAATTTAATAATAAATTTGACTAAAAAGAATATTCTGTTTTTATAGAGCTCTACCTATCAAAATATATTCAACTAATTAAAAAAAATGTTTATTAAAGTTTTTATTCTGATTACCTTTAATTAGAAAAAGGAAGTGATTTTGAAGATTGATATTTTTAACTATATATTTATTAAAATATTCTTTTAATATAATAATAAGGGAGTTTTATAACCTATTACATTTTTCTTAAAAAAATATTTGATAATTGAATATAATTATAAAATTTATAATAAAAAATTGCTAGTTATTATTTATTATTTCAAAAAATAATATTTTAAGTTAAAAGATGTTTTGTTATTAATTCAAGTGATTATTAATTATAGAAATTTGAAGTACTTTATTATAACAAAATTATTAAATTATTGTTAAGTTTACTAATTTAAGTTTCTATTTCGATTTAATTTCCAAATTATTTATTATTTTAGAAAACTAAATATTAAACCTGATATATTGATTAGAAGATTAAAAGATCTCTTTAAGAAAGAGGATAAATATTTTTTATATTAAAGTTATATTATTCTAAAACAAAAGAATTTAAATTTTGATTTATTCCCTATTACTATTATTCCGATTAAATCTAAGTTTATTAAGAAAATATAATTTACTATAATTATCTATAATTAAAGAAATCTCGAATCTATTAATACCATTAACCATTTGTATTTTAATATTAGAATAACTTTACTAGAAAATAGTAAAGTTATAAAACCTATAATTCTATTTATTATATTTATATTCAATTCTATAATATTATTAGAAGACTTAAAAACTCCTTTAGATCTTTTTATTAATCTATTTATCTTATTTTATAAAAGTTATTAAGTTAATTCTATATTTGAATTTATTCTAAAATCTTTACAAAAAGGATCTTTAAAATATTCAAAAATTATTTTTATTAAATATATTGAAAATAATAATTTATTATATTATTGAGGGAAATTATATATTTCTAATTATAATCTTTTGAAAACTTATTTATTTTGTTTATATTATGAATCTCTTATTATTGATTATTTATATTATATTTAAACCTTCAAATTATTATTTTAAGATTATTATTAGCCTAGATATTATAATTACATTATATAATGAGTTTGTAATTATTATAGTTGTTATTATATTATTCCAAATTATAGAGATTAGAAAGAAGTTTTTTGTTTACTCCTAATTCTATAGAAAACTTAGTAAGATATCTTAATAGATTTTATTATATATTTGTTTGAAAATACTGATTTTAATATTATTATAATAATAATCAATTGACTAACAAAAATGAAACACTTTTTGCCTTATTATAGTATTTGCAATTCTAAAGAGATTGTTTATTTATTTCAAAAGAATATTTAAAAACTTTATAGTTTATTTTTAATAATTATATTAAATTGTAGAGTTTAATTTATATTTAAATTCTAGAAATATATCTATAAGTATTTAGGTATTATTATTAAATTATTAATTGCTTATTATTCTGAAATTAATAAATAAACTAAGAGAATTAATACAATATTAGAATAATATCTTCAATTATATATAGTCTATCTATAAAACAATTAAGTAAAGTAATTTCTATTTATCAAATTTTTTATTAATAATATCTAATCCGAAAACATTCAAATAACTCTATTCTTCTTTAATTACAAATTTTATTTCTATTTAGAATTTAAATCTACATTATTTTAGAATATTTATTCTATTATAAGAAATATCAAAGAATTTATTATTAAAATGAAAGCTATCTTTTTATATTTATAGATCAAATTAATTGCTAGTTAAGCCTGATATTCAAAAAATATTGATACCCACTATTCCTTTGTTTATAAATATTTATCTAGTAATCTAATCTAATTAAATATTAGAAATATTAAAACTCTATATTTATAAAAAAAGTTTAATTAAAAAAACCTTAGTTTTTTTAAAATCCTGAATTTAATAGATTCTTATATTTATAAATTAAAACTTCCTATTTCAATAAAAACTCACTCTATCTTTTATATCAATTTATTATATTCTATATATAACAATTTCATTTCTAAGTAGTATAACTTATTACTACTATTTATTAAAATCAATAGCTTAGAATAGTTTGAAGCTACCAAAATTCTAAACTTCTATTAGAAAAGAAAAGATTATAAAGAATCTTATTTGAAATATATTATTCATTAGGTAGGCTATAAAATACTAATTAAAAAATCTATAAGTTATCTAAAGAATATATAAAAACTGATTTACAATTTCCATCAAAAATACCCTAATAAACTAAAACTCATTTAATCAAATATTACCTACTTATAAACAATTAAATTATAATATTCTTATCTCAATAAAACTTAATTTTTAGAAAAGGAGTAATATTATAATATAGAATTATATAGTATATTAATTCTATTAGATAGAATTGAAATAAATATTAATATTAGAATGTAAATAAGCTAGAATTCAATTGAATTAGCTTATTTATAAAAATTCTATATATTTTTAATTAAAAAGATTCTATATTATAGCTTTTTAAGCTATATTTTAATCTTTAATTCAAATCTATTATCTAAATTAATACAACTTTATCGAATTAGGGCAAAATTACTAGAACCCTATTATTATCTGCCTGCCCCGTGATACATAAAGACTTTTTATTACTTTCTTAAAAACTATGAAATCATTCTATTTTATAATTATATATGGCCTATTATCAGCCTAAGATCGTTCCAAAGCCTCAAGCCTATACACTTCTTGAGCCCTTAGGTTTGTCACCGTAACACTTTTTATTTTCAATTATTGATTAGCTTTAATTATACTAATTTATCTTAGAATGAAGAAAACTATCATTTCTATATTGATTCAATCAGAAACAAATTCAAAACTTAAAACGAATATGTAGCAAATTTATTAATTAAAGAAGTTATTAATCAGATCTAAAAACACTCTCATTTACTCTACGATCCCTGTGATTCTTAAAGTTAGCGGTAATAAAAAAATTCCCGCATTCCTGGTCTGGATTATTTAACTGTTTCTTAATGTAAGTAGAAATCGCTTAAAAGACATACTATTAAATGTACTACTGAAAAAAAAAATACTACAAGCAACGCTATGTCGTCTATTAGAATACTTAAGGATCGTATTACCCCTCTTTCTTACAATATGAATTTTCCGCTCAAAATGAGTTTCGAAATGCTTTCAAGGGCTCTTACAGCCAGTTGCATAGGCATTGCAACTCATAATCTTATTTTCATCCACAATGAGTGGCATCTACTTGCCCCTGCTATCCTTTCTATACATTTAATATTAGCCATCAGCGTGGTAGCCGCTGAAATTTGGAAGGGTGGTACAACCTACTCCAGTCATCTTGCCGCTGCTATCTCGATTCTTTGCTATCTCACATCCCTTTTCAGCAGCATTGTCATTTATCGTCTTTTTTTTCATCGACTGCGACACTTCCCTGGACCACGTCTTGCGGCTGCCAGTAAACTATGGCATGTCTGGCAGTGTCGCGATTCTCGAAATCATTTAGCCTTAGAGAGACTCCATCAGAAGTATGAATCTTTTGTGAGAACGGGTGGACTCTCCAAAATTCCGATTAATTAGGCATGTAATACTGATAAAAACACTACCAGGTCCTTGCGAGATAACCGTCTTTACCGCTGGCGCATTTGAAGCTATGGATGGACCTAAAAGTAATACTACTCGTTCTGATTGGTACGACTTACTTCACCCACGAGTATCTTCTGTTTTCACGAGAGATAAAGAGTTGCACGACGAGAGGAGACGAATCTGGTCGCATTCACTAAGCACTCGTGGTAAGCAAGTAGTAGATTCTTGAAGATATAATTCTGACAACTATAGCTCTCTCATCATACGAGCCTCGTGTTCTCCGAAAGGTTATGGGCCTGAGAAATCACATCGAGAAAGCTAATTGCAACCCAATTTTTGTCAACGACTTAATGCAATGGTTCTCTTTCGGCTTAATGGGTGATTTTGCTTTTAGTCAAGACTTTGGCATGATGGAAAAATCAGAATATCATTCAGCTATTGAGATGGTGCGATCTGCCATAACGTTATTAGGGCCTTTCAGCCCAGCCATATGGATACCCAGAATAGGGTTTGCGTTTCTGTCTCGGTTCTGGAAAGTCAAAGATTGGTTTGGCATGCTAGCATTCTGTGATACATGTATGGAGCGTCGCATGAAGGTGAGCATAGTGGTTTGAGAACTCTGTGGAGTGGTACTGAATCCATCTTAGGTCACAGTCAAAGAGAGAGACATTGCGTCTTGGTTCATCGAAGACGCCGAGAAAAACAAGAATAATGGTCAATACCGCAGATGGCTCAGTGGAGACACAGCAACGGTTGTTGTAGCTGGAAGGTATGAAAAACATGGCATTCAAGTATCTCTAAACTGGCTGATCCAATTGCTATAGCGACACTACAGCTCCAACGTTGACCACCTTATTCTACTTTCTGGCGAAGAATCCTCAAGATGCGGAGAAAATATATCAAGAGATCTCCAATGTCGATTTGCAGGATGTAAACGCAGTTGCAGCTCTACATCATCTGAACGGCTCAATTAATGAAGCCATGCGCTTGTTACCAGCCGTTCTTACCTTCGTGACTCGTGTCAGCCCACCTGAAGGAATGGACGTGAATGGGACACACATACCAGGAAATGTGAAAATTGCCGCCCCGCGATATTCTATTGGAAGACGTAAATTTTCTACTTGCACCCGGGATTTAAAATCCAGCTAATTCACATCACAATCACACTCAGCTGAGCCTGGAAGGAACCTCACAAATTTTGTCCGGAACGATGGTATAGTCGTCCCGAAATGATCTTGGATAAACGAGCATTCGCACCCTTTGGAGTTGGTATGTTTCACATGATTCTGAAAGTATAATTCATTTTTAGACTGACAAGATAGGACGCACGAGTTGCGTAGGCAAGAACCTAGCACTGACGGAAGTTCGTATGGCAAGTGCGCATTTAATTTCGGCATTCAAGATACATTTCCATCCTGGAGATAATGGGGACGCTGTTGAACGCGATTTGAGAGACCAGCTTACAGCCAAGCCTGGTGAATTGAGATTGATTTTCGAGCCACGCATTTCGCAATGAGATTGAAGTTTGAAATCTATACTCCGATTAATAACAAATATATTTCTATTGGTTGATTTATGGTACGGAGTGAAGAAGCAAGCTCAGAACCAAGGCATTAGAGATAAGCACGATGGAGTCGCAGCAAACCAAGGAGAAGGGTTTCCCTCCAGAGATTCAAGCGTTTATAATTTACTAAAATCAATTTATTTACTTGTACTAGTTTTTTAACTACTCTATTTTGCTTGGACGCGCCTCTGAAAACTTGATCTCTGAGAAATCTAAGAATTCATTCTGCTTATAATTCAGCCCTCATTTAATTGATCGGAATTGCGGATGCATATCAGCGGCACGGCAGATCAAATTAGTGGCAGTTGCTAATTTGGCGATGGATAGTACTCGTGCGGCCAGAAAGTATGCAACTCCGACGCTAGATGCACATACCACAAGATGGTAAACTACAAGAGGACTAACCTAGTTTTCATAGCGCCGGATTTGCATACTTTCTGGCCGCACGAGTAACCTTATGGCTTGCGGGATGACGAAGTAAGCACTAGAAGATACAACAAATTGGCATGTATCATCTTACTGCGTCTGGATTTGACATTGATCGTTCTCTCTTAGTATTTATAATTCTACTTAACCTTTATCACTCACTGTATTAAATCTATCGGTGAGTTCATCACCTATTTGCTTAATAATAAATGCCTATATGATTAATTAATACGGTAAAAACCCTGAATATTATTAATCTATGTATTAATATCTCAACTAGTATATAATAAAATAAAATATTATTACTTTATTACACTATCACTAAATTTATAGATTAGCAAATTCCGAATCTGATATATAATCTTTTGGAAATTAATGAAATAAAAAAATAAAAGATAAAATTATTAATTAAAATTCAAGAAATTCAATTATATAATTTTTTGGGAATCATCTTCAAAATTAAAATTAAAATCTAATATAATAATATCTTAATAATAAGAGAGTTAATATTAAAACTTGATTATTATAACAAAACTAATCAGAAAACCATTAAATTGAATTTTAATTTCGATTTTTGAGATAATTCAAGATAAATTATTTTAATGAATTCCTTAAGCTTAAATCAATAATTATAATTTTATTTTTTTCCTAAAAGATTTTATATTAAATTGAAAGATTAATAAGTATTATAAAATACTAGTTAAGGTTACTTTAGTTATAAATCTGATATTTGAGGTATCAATACATGGAATTATAATATTCGGGGTTTTTATTGTAATTAATATTATAGCTGTTGGTTCGAGAAGAATACGGAAAACGTAGCACCTACGTATTGTAGGTTCTGTATATCTAATTGTATTCTATCTAAAGAGCTAATTATATAGGAAAGTAGTAAGTCTTATATAGATATTATTGAAAGAGCTAATCTCTTTTGCATTTGCTTAATCTCTTTAATATAATAGTTATTATATTGAAGTTGTTTCTTTGAAATGAATACTCTTGTTTATATATTTGAGACTCTTTTTTATAATCTTTAATATGTATAGCTGAAAAAGAAATTCGTAAAGTCATAAAAATCCTTTGTTTATTAATTAAAATCCCTAACCTTTTATCAACAGAATCATTCTCTTTTTTAATCCTTTTTTATTTATTTTATTACCTTAATATCAATCTTATTCATATTAATTAGATTAGTAAAAGCTTGATATAGCTTTTCTTTTGTTATTATATTAATTAGATTAGTTGGACTATCGATCTATATAATTTTGATAATCTCTTTTTTCTTATAGAATTGATATAGTACTATAATATTAATTATTAATCTTTTCTCATTAATTATATCTAGTTTAGTAAGCAAATTATATAATAATTTTGAATTAATATATAAAACTAATGGAATCTTTTTATTAAGAATAGTATTAATTATAAAAGTGATTATTATTCTAATATTGAATCTTTAAATTAATTCATATAACTCTAAAGCTAGAATACTATATATAATTCTTTGTATTTGATAAACAACTAATAAATAATATTAGTATTATTATATTTATTTATTATAACGATTATATAGCCTATTTGGAATGAATAATCTCTATTATTTGTAAAAGAGGTATTAGTGAAAACAATAATCTTAAATAAATTTAAATCTAATAATATATAGTTAAGTTCTTTAATAGAATTTTCTTTTTGCTATTTAATATGTTTATTCAATATTATAATATCATCTTTATTGGATTATATTATTTATATTATTATAGACAAATTAAAAGATACTTTAGATTAATATATAGTTATAATGTATATTCTATAGGCTTGTTATATAATATATTGATTATATATAGAAGTATACTTTCGAACTTTATTATATATTCTATAAATATTCGTAGATTCCATAAAAACAAGTTGTAAATTGTTATATTATTTTTCTAATTGAAATAAATATTATTATTTTAAAGTATAAGAATAATACTATTAAATTTCAATAAATGATTATAAATTAGTTCTTTACGATTCTTAATTATAAAACCGGTTTGCTTGAATTGCTTATTCTTAGTTTATATAAATGTATTATTCTTAATAATGAGTATATTATTTATTTGAAGTTTTATAATACTAAATCTAATTCTTTTATTATTAATATACAAAAGATAAAGGTTAAATATAAATTATTACATTTTAAGTTTCTTGTAATGATGAGTATGATATGTTCTAAACTAATGATTTCCTGTTTTTAGAATATTATATAATAATTTAATAATGAATAGAATTATATCAATTAGTAAATCTATCTTTTTTGAAGTATGGGTATAAAAAATGTAATATAGATTTAATATGAATTGAGTGTATGCTTGAGTAATATCTTGATTATATATATTTATACTATTCTTTTGAATACTTATAATTAATAATATTAAAATATATTAATACAATTATTAAATTATTAGTAATTATATCAAAATAGTTGTTTTATTGATATTACTATATACTTGAATAATTAATCTTAATTTATAGAACTTAGTATTTATATTTTCATTTTTAATTTTATCAATAAATTGGAACTTAAAAATATATATACCTAAAGGAATATCTAATAATAATATAATCTCAAATATATCTTTAGCTATTAGTTTATTAATCTTCTTCTTTCTAGATTCTTTATATATAATTGAATTCTTAAAATTAGTAATAAAATAATTAGAATATTGATTTTATATATAAACTTGAATCTAAAGTATAACTATTTATGGAAAAGATATTAATATAAGTATCTAATTATTCTTAAATAAATTCAAAAAAGGTTTTTTAGGATTTATAATATATATAATTAATATATTAAAAATAGATAATCTAATTTTATTAGATTTTAGTAAAATTATTTTATATTTGTTAAGATAACCTAGAATATAATTAATTTGATTAATTTAATTAATTTGATTGATTTAATCAATTTAATCAATTTAATTAATTTAGTTGATTTAGTTAATTTAATTAATTCAATCAATTTAATAATAAAGCTTTATTAATATAAATCTAAATCTTATAAATTTATAAAATAGGTTGAATATATATATCTTATTGTTCATATTGAGTAATAAGAATAATTCTTTTTATTTATTAGAAATTATTTTATTATTCTCTTTCCAAATTAAAATAATATTATTTAATAATAAATCATAAAGTATAGTTATAGAGGGGCTATCATATATATTTAGAGCTTCTTATATTTATATAAAGCTATATAGCTTATGGATTTTTATTATAGCTTTAAAGATTGTAATAGCTTATTATTAAATAATAAGTATTAAAAAACTATTCTTAATAATATAAGGGAATATACTAAAAACAAATAGGGTAGATATTAAATCATTTAGTTCAATAATATTATTAATAGTTTTTATAATTATTTGAAATATAATTGCCCTACTAATATTCAGTTTATAAATCTTATTATAAATAATTTTATAAGATCTACACAATAATATATAAAACCTCTTAATAATATCTATAGAATAATATATTTCTATAAGGACTATCTTTATTTGAATAGATATTGATATAGTATACTATTGGAATTTCTTTTTAATAAAATTAATATTAATATTATAAATAATATATTCCAATGAATTAATATATATATCGATTTAGTATTTATAGAGCTTATTCTATATATACTTTATAAATATATTGTTTAGCTATTAAGTGGTTTGAAAATGTATAGCTTTATTAATAATATATAGAATATGATTATTATTAATATAAAATATATTAATAAATATTATATAATTATACTCGAAATTCTTATTAGATAAAAGGAACTTAAATCTATTAGATAACTTACTGTAAACTTGATAATAATAATAGAATTTAATAAGTTATTTAATTATTTCAAAATCCTTATTATATTTAGAGTACTTGAATACCTTATAGAACTTATAGATAGATAAATAATTGAATTAGTAATGAATTTATTATAGTTCAATTTCGATGAAGTAGTATTCTTTATTATTAATAAAATAATTAATTAATTCCTAAATATTAATATTCTATAACAAGAATATATAGCTAAATCGTTAATACACAGAGTAAACACCTTTAGATATAATAATAATATTATTAAGATTATTATATTTAAATCTGAATTTGTTTATATTTACTAAATAAAATAAAAATAGAATATTAGTTTTCATTATATTTCATTTTATATTTTTGAATAGAAATTTTATATAGAATAAGCTAATTAAAATAATTACTTTAATATTATACTAAATTATTATTTAGTTAATAATAGTCTTATTATATTTAATATTCTTAATCTTTTTCTATATTAGATACTAATTATACCCAATAATCAATTTTTGAGCTATACCTATATCAATTATAATTTTAAAGAATTTTTTATTATTATATTATTTATTATTTATAGTATATATTTCAATTATTAATATATAAATATTTATAGTATTATTGAAATTAATTATTATTAATAAACTATTACAAATATCTATTAATATAAAAATATTCTA